AGTTTTATAAAAAAACACTTTACAGTACAGAATTTTTTCGTTTATCTTTTAACTCTTCACTAGTATCTTATTCTTATGCAGTTTTCTAAGGTCCACATTTGTGTGACAGTTTTTTTTCTATAATCTGTTTCTGCCGTTAACACCAGATTTTAGGACAACTAAGGGATTTCCTATTCTAGTCTAAAACTCATGTTGCTCGTATATTTTTTTTATTAAGTTATTGGTATGTGTTCATAGCTTTAGGAAGGAACGATACTCTGTTGCGACTCTCTTGCACCATGCCAGAGAAGCCTTTGACTGAAGACACTATGTTCTAACAGTCTTATGAAGAGGATGCTCACGGTTGTACATAATTTTCTCTATTTTATGAAGAATTTGAAGTAAGCTCAAACGTTCTAGATGAATTCCTAGAACAAAGACAGCCTTCTTTATTGATCTATTCAGCTTTTTCTAAGTTATTTGCTCTCATGCTGTTACCCCAACAAACGATGGCAGATGAAATTACTTGCTCCACAACTTCTAGAAGATATGTAGAATCTTGCCGCAAACGCCAAAGGACATACGCTTCCTGACGGAGTACAGTCCCTTTGTCCCTTCTTGTTGACAACTTCAAGGGTGGGTCTCAAGTCCAATCTTTTGTCCAGGTGAACTCTGAGGTATTATACTCCTCCATTATCTCAACATGCTCCTGTTTCTTCTGAAACAGTTGAACATTCAGTCTAACAATCTGTGGTCTTTTTGTCAGGTAGTCTTTGGCATCTAGCTCAGCCTTGGTCTTCTAGAGTTTCTGACAATATAAGTCGGGCTGAATATTGTAAAATGCAATGGTTAGATCAAAGAACATAACCCACACAGTGCTGTTTGCCTTGTATAAATAACAGTTGGTTTGTATGATGGCGACTTCAACTCCACAATGATCTGCAAACTGCAGGAGGTCCTGATAGCTGCTCAGGTAGACCAAAACAAGTCTCTAAAAGTGTTATGATGTGGGATATCAGGACAACAGGTCTGTAGTCATGCAGTACTCTTGATTGAGTATTCTCTAATACCGTAACAATGCAGGAGGTCTTCAGCTACACGATAATTGTGTTCTGGTTCAGGCTAGGTATGAAGAGGTGCTGCAAAATCACACGGAGCTGCTCTGCAGAGGCCTTCAGGACTCTTGGGCTGACACCATCTGGGCTTGGAGCCTTATTGCAAATTAGTCCCCCACCAACTCCCAAAGAAGGGAGGGTGCAGCATCATTATCTGATTTGTTTAAGAACAATCGCACAGAAGCAAGAGGGTCTGTGGCAAAGGTGGAAGATATTGAAGGATGTACTTAGTTTGTTGCTTCTGTCCAGACTACCACATGTCTGGTCCTCCCTCTGCTTGAAGCCTGTGATCTTCTTCATCTCTGAACCATCTTTAATAGTTTTCTCCTGGATCTTCCCTCCAATTTGTTCCTGTATGCCCCCTTGCTTTCCCTTTCTTTGACCTAGAGTTGCTTCTGTATACTCCCTGCCTGCCTTCCTTAAGGCTCCTTTATAGTTGTTTACTGACTTCTTTAGATCACTGGTGATCTATGATTCACTATTGATTAAGCATCTCAGGTTTATAAAGTCTCATACAAGTGCCTCATATTCTGAGCAGAGAAAAGCAAGATTGTGATCAAATTTCCTTAAAGGACGTCTCACTTACAGATATTTTCTCCATGACATTTGCATAAAACATGTCCAAAAGGTATTTATTTATTTCTTTGGTACAGCAGCTGGCACATTATTGGAATTTTAAAAGTGTAAATAAAATAACAGATTATTACCACAAATGCATTTGCCTTTTGTTGCCTGTAGCTTAGCAACAATGAAACGGATGGCATTAAAATCAGTGTCCGCAACAGCACAAGATAGAATGTAAATAGTTGCCAAATCAACACAGGTAAACTAACGAAATCTAAAGACCAACAGTTCAATGTCTAGGCTCTGTCTCTTAGTATGGCTAAAAAAACCTGTGAAAGATCCTGCAGCCATGTTTCAGTAAAACATACAGTAACACAGCATCCCTGATATTCTGGCTGGGTCCATGCTAAGGCTTGAAGTTCTTCTAACTGATTTCCTATAGAGATCACATTGCCCTTAATGCTTATTGGAATAGCTTGAACCCCCACCTCTTCTCCTTTTTCTTGCTCTGCATCCTGGGCATCTACTTTTTAGCTTAACTGAAACTAGAAGTAGTGGAACTTTTAATTCAGCCTTTGAGATGAAATAAAAGCTGTTGCTGGGTGTAAAGAAAACAACCTGCCATGGTTGCTATTGTAACACATCATAACAATTATGAAAAAAGAAGATATATTGGTAAAAAATGCTTTTAAGCTGCAGGGCATCCATCACTACATTAAAAAAAAAAAATCATAAAAAAGAAAATTGGTCCACAAGTGGAAGAGCTTCTCTTATTTTTTTTTTTAAAGAGAATTTCAGAATCAAGCTAGAAGAGCTACTTCAAATTACAGCCACCACAAGTAACTCAAATCTAGAATTTAGGTAGGTACATTTGTGAAGTTTCTGTGTTAGCCAACTCATTATAATCTTCAGTACTCATAGCAGCACTAAATAGTTTTTTTAAAAGTGTTTTGAAAATTGCATTGCTGTGAAAACTTACTCTCTCAGAAACACGTATGTGGAAAAGTAGGAAAAGTCAGAGGAAAAATATTTAAAAAGGTATGTTGTAGAGTAGCTGCAAATGAAGACAGCAAAACAACAGAAAGGCCTTTTATTAAGTGTAAATACAACAACTTTCACACGTTGCTGTGGAATATTAAAAAAGATTCTGTTTAATATTTGAAGCTATATTAACATTTCCTAAAAACTCATTATTGTTCTGTGAAGCGATGTCTGAACTGTCACGTTCTGGAGTGCTTCTGTTTGTTTTTTATTACGTCACTGGCTGGAAGTTTGCCAGATGATGGAAGAGCAGTTATTATTGCTATGGGTTACTGATGATGAGTAAAATTGCATTTTTCTAGCAGTCCTGATGAATAGCATGATGAGCCTTATATGCCGCCCTCATAACGGCAGGAAAATTACAACCTATAAGAAATGTTGCACTTTATTTTTTATCATAGAATAGGAAACTGGATTGTGTATGTTTAACAGAGGGGAAATGGTATAAATAAGGCAATTAGAGATGCAGAAAAAATATTTTCCTATTCAGCGATTAAGCTCTTGCCAGAGTTCTTGCTCAGACTTTAGATTCAGGTTCAGCTCACACATAATAGATCATCAGTACACTGCAAAAACGATCTGAAATTGAGTAAAAATTTCTTAAATCAAGTGTATTTAGCCTTAATTTGAGCAGGTAAATAAGATAGTTTGCCAATGGAATGAGTATTTCTACACTTAAAATAAGTTAATTAGATAATATGCACTTGAAATAAGACAATGCAACTGATTTTTCTTAATTCAAATGTAAGTCATCTTGTTCCATTGGCAAAGTGTTTCATTTACCTCCTCAACTTAGGATGAAATGCACTTATTTTATGAATAAAATTACTTATTTAGATTTACATTTTTTGCAGTGTACAGCACCTTTTCTCAAAAGGAATTCTGTCAGGTCTATTTTAGGCCAACAAAACTGACAGCGACTCTTGGATAGGTTTCAAAGCATACACAGAAAAACTGAGTAAAGGTCTGGTAGCCTCTGATTTAAGCTTGTTTTGTAGTAAACAGGCCTAAAATGACAGTGACCATTGACTCAGCTATAAACAGTCTACTTTAATTGATTTGTAATATAAAGTTTAATTACTTTAACTATGTGCTGCTAAGTAGTAAAACTTTATCTGCATGAAGCGCAGTTGATGGCACCAAGTTGGCCTAAACAAGCATATAGTGAGAGTAGAAAGGAAAAACTTTTTTTTTTTCAACACAATGAACCCTTTAACCACCTAACAGCAAACATGATATTTAATAAAGCTTCAGGCAAACATGGTGTTGGTACTGTGATGGTCGGTGCTGCCTTTGTTTTAAGGATCTACGGTTTTTAACTTCACATTAGAGTCACTTTGTGTTTTTTCCTGCAGGACAATGATGATATGAAGTTGGACACTAGTAAGTTCTGCTCCATATGACTCAGAAAAAAAAAAAATATCAAAGAACTAGAAGAAACAAAATAAAGGGTACTCTGAAAAATGATCTAGAAATAAGTAAACATTTCTTAAATTAAGTGTATTTACCATTCATTTGAGTAGATAAGATGATTTGCCAACGCAATCAGTATTTTTAACTCTTAAAATAAGATTAGATAATATATCCTTGGAATAAGACAATGAAATTGTTTTTTTTTTTGTCTTTTTCCATAGGCAGGGTGTTTCACTTACCTCCTCAATTCAACAAAAAATGCACTTATTTGAAGAAAAAATGACTTATTAAGATTTTTTCCAGTGTACAAGAGGGTCAAAATGTTCCTTAAGACTTCCCCATTAGGTTTGTTTTACCTGCAGCACGCCTAAGCTCCTTCTTTCAGTCTGTTTAAGCAGCAATTTTTCACATTTGGCATTTTTCTCCCTCACTCAGCTTCAATATATTGTCATCGTTGCCAAACTGGGCTGCTGAGACGGGGTGTGAATAAATCTTGCAAATGAGGTTTGAAGTGGCCTTTTCTTTTGCTGAACTTGACAAGGTTAATTCGAACGTGCGATCCACACTCCTCTGCACACTCAAGATCATTTCAAGGCCCTGATTTTCATGTGCCAATCCTGCAGAAGGAAAATGTGGGATCTGAATGTAACAGTTTGCTGCTTTTGGGTGCGCGTGTGCAGGTTTTACATAATTAGGTGCTGTGAATGGAGGGTCACATTTTAATCTGTGATATCATCTAAAGCAGCAGGCTGTTACCAGCTACGTGACTCTGTGTCCTGCTTCCTCCTCCTCAGGTACCTACTTCACGCATGAAGCCAAAGGAGCAGACGATGCGGCAGACGCAGACACAGCCATCATCAACGCAGAGGGCGGCCACACCAACTCGGACGAAAAGAAGGAGTATTACATCTAACCCTGAAAAGGGAACCCCCCCCACCACCACCACCCTTGCTCAGGTGTCCTTGTCGGCACTCAGAGCCGTTTTCCCGGGGATGGGGCAGGGTTTGACAGATTGGGATTGCTTTTTAGTGGAGTATCGGGGACGTGGAGGAGGAATTTTAAAAGAAAGGCCTGGTTTTATGCCGTTGTTTAGTCTAGTCTGCAGATGTAGATGGAATGTTCTTTGTGTTTAAGATAAAAAAAAAGTAAAATAAATCTTCAAAAAAAATCTTGGAGTAAAGCAAGTTGGGGTATTGGGGGTGGGGATGGGAGGGTGCACCAGACGTTGCCAGAAATCACTGTAGAGAGCTTCACCGTTTAACACCTCCCTAACTGCTGGTACGAAGTTTATCTTTCAGTTCCACCATTTGCAGAAAATTCTGTGCCTTGTTCTGAATTTTTTTTTTTGTTCTCTCCACACTCTGCATCCGTGTTGATCATCATTTGCATCACCTTGTTGCTCTTTTTCATCTTTTTCCTCACCAGTCGTTATTATCTGTGTGCTGTCGGCTTTTGTATGAGGGTAAAATTACACAGCCACTTTATTCATTTGTCTAAGTGTGTCTGCACACACGTTCGACTCCTCTCCTGCATAGAAAACACTCTCTCCAGTAAACTGTGATTCGTCTCAAGCCATTCCCTCTCTCTTGTTCCTTTAAGTTTCAGAAGAAGTAAGGCATGGTGTGCTCTATGTGTGATTGTACAAAAAGCCGAAACCAGATGCAGGTTTGTTTTATTGGTTCCACTACCACCGACACCCCTAAAAACAAAAACAGAACAAAGTATATAAGGACTCCTGGTCAGTTTGCCCCTTCAATCCTCTGTTCTTTAACTTTGTACCAATGTGTTGCAGCAGTTTTCCTTTTACTTCTATTCCACACCTAGAGACAAACAAATTCACATTAATTCACATAAATTGTTGGGAAAATTCTCAAATCTCATTATTGTATTTGTTTTAAATCTGATCCGTGTTTGGGATGACTGATCTTAGTTGTTGTTTATGGTAGAGATATGGGGCTTTCTCAATTCACGAGAACGCGAGTACATACTCGCGTTCTCGTGAAGTCCGTTCTTGGCGAGAACGCAGGAAGATCGGACTTGACGAGAACGCGAGCACGCAAGCACGTATGTGTATTGGAACAGAAGCGTACTCGTGACGTCATCACATGCAAAGTTCTGTAGCATTTCTTTTACAGTCAAAACTATTTATTCCCTACACAAAACATTTTGAAAACAATATTTTTAATTTCTAAAGCTTAAATAACATTAAAAAAAATTACCGAACCGCAAAAAACCGCCATCAGAACGAGCGGTAGTTCACACATAACTAGACCGAGAGAAGTGCACTACAGACGGGGTAAATTTAGCCCTGGCTGCGGTTACCCTCGGAGGTCTGCTAGTCACTCTGGTCCGCTCAGCGTCGGACTTTTTTTTTTATTTCGCACTAACTCTGTAAACAGACCACACAGGGAGGCTTCAATGTATAATGTTATCGCCTCCAACGATTTCAAAACGTACTTTTGAAGAACAACATCAGCAGAAAAGGGAATGTTTAACTTAACACTGAGCGCTGTCTCGAATCAAGCTGCGGCCGCGGGGCATTCTGGGGAAGCGGTCAGTCTGAAGAACGCACAAGTCTGCTCTGATGCATGCTCGATAAAGAGGGCGGGGTGAGAACAACATCTGGAGATTTGATGGGTTCTCGATCTGGCGTTCTTGAGAATTGGAACGGTACTCGGGCTGAGGCTGATGACGTGTCACGAGTACACGAGCACACGAAAACGCTCAAGAACACATATTGAGAAACGCCCATGATCTCCTTCCCAGACACTAGACACTCTGGTTACCATGACAACCTTAAATTTGAGCTTTCAAAAACATTTGAACAACTTTTTTTACCCTGACATTGCCTCTCCCACACTCTTGAAGAACAGCTAAACCTGAAGTGTTAAGTTTAAAATCTTAAATATGTATCTAAGTATTTCTTATATTTATAATCTTGTTTGCAAAGATGTTTTTTTTTTTTTATATTCAATTTGTTAAACTCTGAAATGAAAGCCTAGTTATTCAACAGCATGATTAGAAGTTTGAAACCTTGGAAGTGTCACCAATTCTAGCAAGATATTTTAATTTATATTTTTTCACCAATGTTGTTTTCATTATTTTCTCTCTTTGGTGTAAACAGTGCAATCAGAGAGTAGAATTGGGTCAGTCAGTTGTTTGTATTTTACCTTGGATTAATTCTTTTTTGTTTTACTCAGTAACTATTACCAAAATTAGTTTTTTTTTAATCCAATCTAAAGGTGCCAAAAAGCAAGCTTTGGGCCTAAACAACAGATATGTGCTAAGATTTTAGCGTCAGCTGAGCTAGGCCACAATACAATAAGAACTGCAAATCAAGAGACCAAGTGTTGTTCACTGAGCAGTAAGACAACCGAATCCAAACCACAACAAGGCTTCTGCTTCTTCTGCTAAGATCATTCTGAGCTACTGAATGGGGTGTAAACAAAACTGAATCCCTGAGTTTCTCTTTTTCTAATCCAATTGCTGCTAAATATTATTAATCAAGAACAGGTCATGAGAGAACATGAAAACTGAAACATTCAAGCCTCACTACTGTAAATATCTTAAACATACATTTTTCATAAAAAAAAATATCCCTGCCCTGTCTTTGTACATTGCAGGTCCAAACAGAACACAAGACAAACAAAGAAGCCCATCCAAGTTCAGGGATCAGTTCCACGAAGCAGGTGTAATGAAAACTCTAAGTTTTCTAAACCTGAAATCAGAAAACTGGGTTTTGCATTTCACAAAGAGAGTTTCCTCAACTTCTGTTTCAGTCACCGTAGTAACCTGGTCTGCAGCAGTTTTTGTTCAGTAAACTCAGAGTGTTTTATTTGGATGATAACATCTGAAGCAGCTGCAAACAGACACTGTATTTACTGTGTGAAGGAAGGTTGAATCAACATGAGGAGGAACCCTATAAGATGATGACAAGGTCCTATCTATTAGAACTACAATTTTAGACTTAATTTTCATATGCTGCCAGATGATTTTACCTAAATAGATCTACCATTTAAGAAATAAACCTGTAATGTATGGCAAGCCTTTTTGGTATATATTCGTTTTACTGAATACATATTCCTGAATACGCATTCCTCGAGCAACAATCTTCTCCTTCGCCATCTTCCTCTTTTTTTCTTTTAAACACATTCTCCTTCTTTTTTTTAATTCCTTATTTAAATCTCTAGTTCCAGAGGGGTGAAATAGGTATTTCCTGCTGCCTGCTGTCATGGTGATTCGTTAAATTGGGGCTTCACTGATAATGGCTTTTCATACTTGTTACGCACGTGTTCAAGTCTGTGCTGACCTGCTATGAGTTGATTAAACTAATGGCAGCTTTTGTGAAACCGAAAACCCAGAGTTCCCGATCTTAGGCCAAATCTATTTAGAGTTGTGGATTTGAATCTGAGCTCGTTAAACCTGCTTTGTGAAACCCCAGGCCAAGATGGATGTTGTTGCCATTTGTAGAATACACACTGACAACTGCAATAAGAGGTGGATCGCAGTAAGGTGATCCCCTGTTTAGGCTAAGGTGGTTTGTTGTCTTCTAAATTCTCAAGCCCTTTTTGCTTTTGCTAAATTATTGATATATTATAAAGATCTTTGTTTTATTTTGCTTGCACTTCTTACTTCTATAAGTCAGAAGAAGACAGACATTGGTGTAAATCAGAAAAAAACCCATATATATCAATAATTTAGCTGAAAAGAATAAAAGTTATGTCAACAACTATCCATGAACCTTATCTCTTCTTTAAACATGAGATTGAGCCATTTGATTGGAATAAGAATAAGTCATTCTTCAGGATTTACATTTGGGTAGAAATGTATGGATAACTGTATATTACCGACGTCCCATTGCAGAAATTCCTTTGCAATGGCTGAGATAGAAATCTGGGTAATGAAGACCAAAACTCACTGGTACAAAACGGTGAAGGAGCAAAATGACTAGAAACCTTAACAGATAAAATTATGTATTTTTTACACATCATAACCTTCGCTTTACCCTTCATTTGCTGGCATTTCTTAATTAAAAGGTTTCCCTTTTTTTCAAAATTGTTAAAATGCCTTTACATACCAGCTTTTATTAAATTTCAATATTCGGTTTCAGGTTGTTTGGCTTTCTGTTAAATGGGGAGAAAAGAAAAATCTCTTTAGTTGGTGAAAATATGGAGGGAATATCTTGTTTTAATCGTAAAAATGAGTAATATAAGTACTGGATGCTAATGCTATGTACATTAGTTAAATTAGTAGGAAGGACAGACTTACCAGTTGTAAAATAAAACACCTATAAGTCTTTAACTCATTAAAGCTTGAAGAACCTTAGAGGATGTTCATCTCTGGGTACATATATTCTCATAAATGCAAAATGTAAATGAAGCCAGGAGAATCACACCTGTATTGTACACTACTCCTTACTCAGAAATATCTTTTACAACTTACTAGAAAAAAAGCAACTCAACACCTCTTTTGAATCTGTTGCATCACACTCACTGTAAGATCTGCCAAATGGAGAGGGAACTGAAAGGCGCTGAGAGACGCATCACTCGCCCCATCTTCCTCAATAACCACTGTTTCCTTTGTCCCAGCAGCTTTTGAATGCTTAAATACTTCACACGATTTGCATGTCTGTATCTTTGCTTGAATCAGTTCAGCTTCAGCAACTCCTACCAAAACTGAACCAGAGTCAGTTTTGTTATGCCAGCTGAGGCACGCTGAGTTATGCCAAAAGTCATTGTTTGCCTGTGATATAACTTCCTACACATGATGTGTTCCATGCTGTTTACCCATTGTTTGCATCAGTACCTTGGCTTGTTAACAATGCAGAACTTCCTGGAGTTCTGTTGTGATTATTTTGTGTTCACACAGCAAGCAACACGTTTGTTATTTAATGAGTCCAGAACAGATGTGGTCGATTAAGATGGAGGTTGAGGTTAGTATTGGCATCTTCCACTGGGAATATTTTGCAGTTTTGCCTCCTGATTACACATATTGCTTTAGATGTGATTATCTGTATGAATGACATGCTAATTCTTGGAATTTAATCTTTTGTTTAATTTTTTTTTTTGTAGGCATTGATGAGTTTGTTGATTTTGGCTTAGCAAGACAGGAAACAATTATACATATAGGCTCAAATATATAAACTAATGTGATTGTGAAGGAAAGTTGAGTTTTGTTCTTCAACAGGCAGGTTTGTAGTTGTTGGCTAACATTTAAACTTCCCAAAGACATCTCTCAAAATGTGATGTTATTTTGGGATTTGTTTATTGCCAGTGCCCTTTAGGTGTTAGAAAATGCTTACATCTCTTAACGTTTTGTGTCGTACAAGATTGCAACTCAGATTAAATGCTTCTATGGACTGAGTTGATTAATGTATCGCACCTGAAACAAGTAAAAGATCACTGTAGGATGCTTAAGTCAAAAATATATCTCATCTTTAATTTAGGCCAGAAAAACTTTGATATTGAGTCTGAGAATAACTGTGGCACAGCTAATATCCTAATATATATTGCTAAACAAAAACAATAATTGTTCAATTTCTGTTTTAAAGATATAACATCACTGGTGCATGATGTTAAATTGCTACAATTCGGTGTGCAACCTTTGTCTTTATTAGTTCTATTTTCCTGTGTTTGCTATCTCACGTTGATAGTTCTCTTGCACTGTTAATATAACTACTGATTTTGTTCTTGTTTTATGTTAAAGTATCATTTCATAATCAGTAAAGACTTAGTGTACATAAATATCAGTCAAATCCGATGAAAACTTTAAATGAATACTACTTTTAGAATATAGTTTGGGAAAGTGAAAGATTCCTGGTGTTGCTTGCCGTGTGTCCTTTTATCCGCCACTTGTTCTGACCTATAAGCATTACATTGTTTTTTTTAATAATGTGAAATACGTTAGCTGTGGAATAGCTTTAATATATCATCATCGTGCATGAAGACGGCCTTTAGGCTTTCTGTGTGGAGGATTCAAAGCAGAAGTTTGTTGCAAAGAAATGGATGAGGTCTTTCTGAAATTGGTACAAATTTAACTTTCTTTAAACATTCCCCGTATGTGCTTGGAAATGTTGTTTGCAGCCTTAGAAAAGAGCAGTCAAATTAGCTGTAGCCGAGAGTTTCATTTTGAGCTTTTTTCCACTGGACGTGTAAATATTAGTTACACACGTTTCATGTGCTCGATTTAAAATGTCACATATAAATCACCGCCATGTTCACACTGTATGCTGACGACACTGTTTTGTGTTTTTGTGTAAACTGGATGGGTGGGGGGGTTGGGCTAAGGGTACTGACTAGGTTAGATGTTTCACGGTTCTGGTGTCTGAATAAAAAAATGACAAACAATTTTCCGACTGGTTATTGTTGCTTTACGGATCACAGAGCAGATACCACTCCATCTATCAGGCTGCAAGTTAGTGATTTGTATTCCACAGTGAGCACTCTTTTGCTTCCATGACCAATGGCAGCTTCCATTTAGATCTATTTTTGAGACATACTTGTCAATACAGGATAGGAGAGGGATGTTTTATTCTCCCTTTAGGCTGATATTATGAAAAACTGTTTTTTTATTTTCCCAAATTTCTAAAATATAGAGAAATATCATATGCTTATGTTAAATTATTTACAGATTGGAGTAAATGACGCATTAGGTTACTGATTATGTTTGATTTTTTTGGATATTTCCTGTAAATTAAAAAGAATGCACCATGTGTATACACTGTAACTGAGGTAGTTCCCCGCACATTCGGTTTCTTTGATAACGTCCTGTCTCAGGTTCATGTCTTGCTGACCGATGTGACTGCATCTCAGGTAGAATGCAAAGTTTAGGCCCCACCTGTCGACACCATCAAGGCATGTACAAATGCAACCATCAAGAAGTGCAAACACATTCTTTTAAGGTCCAGAATTGGTGAGGTGTTTTGCATATACAGTATGTTGTACATGTTTTATGTATTTTTTCTTAATATTTGGTGCACTGTATAAATGTGTTAAATATTGCTTTTTTTTTTTTTCTTTTTTTTACATTTGTTTATTGGAATGAAGCAGGATCAGAAACGTGTTGTGGCTGTACTACTTTTACTTTGAACGCTCCACCGCCTTTTCAAACTTTAAATTCCAAAAAAAAAAAAGGTTTGTTTAACCCAGTTCTTGTTTTCAGATTGTTCCTTTTGTCTCTCTGCTGTACTTGAGAAAAATGTAATGTGTATTAATGGAGAACAGGAGTTCCACATTCCCATACACATTTTGTATTGGTTCATAAATAGACATTTTTACAAAACAATGAAGAGTTCTTGTCTTAATAAAAGAGAAAAGATATTAATGTCCTAAATTATATGTGTCAGAAGTTTTATTTTAGATCTTTATGTTATCAGGGTCTGAAAAACATACATCAATGGAAGACGTAGAATTGAAGAAGGTAAGTCTCAAGCCTTTTCTAACTTGTCCACAATTCACCGTTGAGGGTGTTTTCCTATGTTTAAATCCAGATAACTAATTTATTCATGCTTGGTGTTTAAAAAGGTGTACACTTGAGATTAGGGGTGTGCAAAATAATCG